GTTTTGTTTAATTGAATGCATCTTTGGTAAGTACAAACACGGTAAATGGTAGTGTATATATGGAATCAGTAAGGGTTAACATGGAAGAGATGGGATTTATGACTTGTTGCTTTAAAACATCCTGCCTCAGGATGTTAGGACATGGTGTAATGCTTTCCACTGTCTTGCAATCTGTTGATTCACTAACACTTCTCCTACACGTCTGTGCTTCTACCAGCCTTTTACCAAACACTCCACACTACCCCTCACCTTTTGACCTTTGTTTGACCTGTTGCACTCATCCGAACTGCTGCCCTCACGTGGTGTGTCACATTTTGTTGGTGCCGTGTCCTTCCTCTTGCCCTCACTGTGAAGTGTTGAGAGAAGGACACTTCAGGGACTGTGGAGGAGGAAGTGATCACTTTAGCACTGTCAGAGAAGATGCTAGATGAGGCTTGTCAGACAGACGCTTGAGGAAGTGAGAGGTACCAATTAATGTCTTACGGTTTGACGGATGCCTGTCATGTACAGTTGCTACCACTTTCACCTCGTCCCCCATCAATTCTTCATTTATTTCTCTGTCCTTGACCAGCAGTGTCCCTCATCCGCTCTCTCTCTTCTTCCAGCGTCTCACTAACTCTGTGTACATGCAGGATCAAACATGGCTGGCTCAGTTTAAGCCTCACAAAACAGCCATGATTGACAGAGAGTAAAAGAAGAGACAGACACAGAGTGTGTGAACTTGATCTGTCGCTCTCTATCCTCTTTTCCTCAACTGTGCCATTTAAAGCCTCGTACGCACGTCTGCTGGTAGAATGCCTCCCAAAATAAAAGCAACCTCATTACTTTAGACTCTGACAGACTCTCTCACGTTCTGATTTTCTTCACTCTAATATCATCATGTTTCACTCTTTAATTTAGTATCGTTCTGAGTGTGATTCACTCAAAGATTTGAGCCATTTAATTCGATGCGAATGAAAAAACGATGTGATGGATTGAACTACAGTCTGCTCAATTGGCCTTATTCATGAAACGAGAAGACTTTTTGTGTAAAGCGCTCATAAAGTCGTTCTGACGAAGATTTTCATGAAAGTGATTTCAAGTGTATTTTTAAGATGTTAGCTGCTATGAAAAACT